TATTTCTAAAAAAATTAATTTATTATTAAATATTAATATTTTTAATAAATAAACCCTTCCAAATTTTAATTTAATTAAATGAGCACTCACACATAATTAAAATTACCTAAAAAAATAAAAATTCATTTTAATTTTATAAGTCCTAAATTAAAATCAATCATGTATTATTAGTGTTAAAAATAAAAATAAATTTTTTTATTTTTCTATACAAATTAGTGAGAAAAATATGTGATTTAATAATGGTATTAAGTTTTTTAAAAAATAATAAAATTTAAATTATAATAGTGATTATTGTAAATTAAAATTAGAATCTTGATCAATGTAAATTAAAATTGTTATTTTAATTAATTATTACATTTCACATAAAATTTAAACTTCAAAAACAAAATGTTATAAAAAACAAAAATATATGTACTATATTTAATATTTTTCAAAAGTTTAAGATACAACTTGTCTACAACAACTTATGTAGATAAACATTTTGTTAGTTTAGTTAACGGAATATTTGTCAAATAGATTATTTTGAAATAAAATTGATAGTTTATAAATTATTTTAAAAGAAAAAATCATTTTTACAATAAATTAAAATAAATCACATAATTAATAAATTATTTATTGAATTTAACTATTTATAAAGTATAAAAAGACGAGCAATGCTAGGGGCATTCGCCTCTGCACTCTCCGGCCAACACTTTCACTTTTATTGGACCACGTTATTTGGTTGGTAGAGGTTGCTTCAAAAGCAAGAAACAAGCTTACGTGGCCCAATGAAAGGGGAAGTGTTCCCCGAAGAGTGCAAGAGGCGAGTGTCCCTAGCACTGCTCTAAAAAGACAGTCCAGAGGGAGGCACTGAGGAAGGTCATATTCACTTTTTCAAGTCGTCGTAATTCAACATTTAAGAACATTGAACTGATCTTGTAATTCAATGGTTTGATCTTGAATTTTAACTGTTTGGGTGAGATGATCGGAGTTTTAAATTTTACCATTATCGTAAATTTTATCAAAAAATGATTTAATGATCGTGTGATTCATTTAAAACGATAAAATATTCACCTGAGAACCAGTTGCTAACATTAACTCATTAACTTCTTCTTAACCAAAAAAAAAACATTTAAGAACATTATGCGGCAGCCAAGCGGGTTCTAGGAATTTGATGTATGCGCAGAAATTACTTCCTCGAGTACATCTAATCTATTTCTTTATGCACCCATGTGAAACTTCAGCGGTCCCTTCAGGAACAGCTTAACGGATTTTTTATTATTTATTATTTTATTTTATTTTATCTTTTTTAAAAATAAGCAATGAAGAACAACTTAATAGGTTGTGCATTAGACTTAAAAAAAAGGATTTTGAATTCAAATTTTAAAATTGGTGGGGTAAAATTTGTAAAGAAGAGACAATATTTAACTTAACAATTTCTTTTATCCAAAGAGCTTTGCTGGTTTATCAAGGGACTTTATTAAGTATGAACTTGCTTGCAGGCCGCAGAACAAGATGCATGTGAGGACAAGGAGATGAAGGTGCGCAGATGTAGATTTTCTTTGATCATCATTTAGGAGTAAATTGCCCTTGACTTTACAAGTCAGATTGACCCGTGTTCTACACTTTATATTGAAAAATGAAGATTGTTCATGGGATTAATTCATACGGCCATGACGTTACAAGTCAGATTGACCCGTGTTCTACGCTATATATTGAAAAATGAAGATTGTTAGGCACCAGAGAAAACCAGTCAGAGGAGGAAACCTCCGCTTCCATGGATAGCAAGCAAAGCGCGTAAAACAGTCTTATTTTCCACTTCTTTTCCCACCTTTATTTCCAGGTAGACTTTTTAGTTTTTCCTTCACATCAATTAAGAAATTTTCTTGTTATAAACTCTGTCATTATTTTCAATCTAGCATGTCATAACATAGGCATCATCCGACCGTGCCATCTGTGGAATCAGAATGGATTAGCCAGATGATCGTAGCCATCACATAATTCATACGTACAGCTAAATACTTGATAGTTATTATAGGAGAAAGGTATTATTGCACAAGACATAATAGTTCCGTCCTACACGGTAGAAGAGTTCTTTTCAATGGAATAATCGGAGTGAATTGATGCAAAGAAGTTGAAAAGTCGAAGTCTTTTAAGTCAACCAAACGCATTGTCTAGCAGTTTCTTTGAATTAGCTTCACAGCCTTGCTTTTCATTCAGGCACTTACATACCATATCAATTCTTATTTTCCCTCCAGAGTCCAGACCAACCACTTCTTGAAATTCACCCATCAATCCCACCAGTTCCTCATCCATTTGCAACCTCTTCATCCCCACCTTCTCATTTTCCCTTTGTTTCATCTGGGAAAATGCATCCCCTTCACCTCCCTGGGTCTTTCTTCTTCATCATCATCACCTTCGTCTTGATCCATGCTCATAAATTTGCATCCTCTGTGGATGAACGTTATGAGAAATGCAACAGGACTTTCGCCTGTGGAAAGATTAAGAACATTGGCTATCCTTTCTGGGGTTCAGACAGGCCGGACTACTGTGGCTTCCCGGGGTTCCAGCTGAACTGCAGAGACTCATTCGCGGAGATCACAATCATGTCAGTAAGATACCACGTCCTTGGAATCAAGAACGAGTTCCGGCTTCTCAACGTGGCCAGACCCGATTATCGAGGCGACCTCTGCTCCATCTTCCTATTCAACACCACTTTGGATCCTGACGGCCTCTTTAAATTTACTCCCGATACTCAGGAGATAAACCTCTATTATCATTGCGCCCTTCCTCCTCTTCCTCCTCTTACTTCTCTTCCTTCAACTCCTCCAACTCCTCCAACTCCTCCAACTCCAATACAATGTCAAGGAGAAATGGATGAGTACTTGAGACATTTTACTTGTAATGTAAACGGAGTCACCTTCTGCGGCTATTACCTCACTAGAAATCTCAGTGGGTTGCCCGACTATATTGCGAAAATCAGTGGCTTCTTGGGTAGTTGCGGTAAGCGGGTTGTTTTGGCCGCAAACCAATCCGAAATCCAGTCCATGGAGGAACGTCCGAGTCCGAGTCCGAGTCCGAGTCCGAAGGGAGAAAATCTGGCTAAAGCTCTTGCAAAAGGATTTGGGCTGCAGTGGAATGCAAGTAATAGCTTGTGTGATCGGTGCAGAGGCTCCGGCGGGCAGTGTGGGTATAACACGGTTTCGAATAAATTTTCTTGTTACTGCACAGATCGACCCTATGATACCGTTTGTCCTACTCCTACAGGTCAGTTTGTTACTACTTGATTACTACTTGTGAAAATTGTGCATAAAACTTGCATCCATCATAGATTTAACCTATAAGTTTCTTACTTTTATATTTTATACCCATTCGCATATAGACCCATTATGCAATAAAATCTGGACTCTGCTATTATGTGAACTAAAACTAATTAGCAATAGATGAAGTCATTTGCTAGGGAGACATATGACCTAGTAGGGTGACATTGAGTGGCCTACTAGATGTTTTCACACACATTAAAATCAAAAGATTAACCTATTAATTTCATGGGTCTTCACATATTTAAATTACTCTTTCCTTCTATATTTCTTCAATGTAAGATCTTAGTTCTTCACACTCACTTCAACACTCCCCTTTCACTTGTGAGTTGTGAAGATCCCATGAGATTTCATACATACATGACGTAGTCCATTTTTTTACATATATACATGACATAATCCATAAGTATACTCATCATGGGTACTATATCATCCATGGGTATATTCATCATAGATTTACATAACATAACCTCTCATTTTGCTAAACCTAGCCCAAAACTGAAATTACCACTAATTGTATTACGTCATTGACTCGATACCATATGAAAATTGTGCATGTGGGTGCAAACCTCAATATAAAATTTGCATTCAATCTAAAATCAATTAACAATAAATAGAGTAAATTTTTCTTATATTTAACTCACAAGATTCTTATTTTTATACTCAATGTGAGATTTTCCCACTCAACCCTACTCTTTAGTGATCAGCCCCATAGTACGGTTTTTTTGTTTATCATATTAAAATTCGAGATTTCAAACATAAAACTAAAATTAAGATTTTAAGTTTTTGTTTGTTAAGAAATTTGAGGACGTTGAACCCTTTTTTACGCCAACGAGCACATTTAAATTTAAGGAAGTTTTAAATTTCAACAAAATATGCACTAATAAAAATATTAATTTATTATAATTAAATAAAATTTAATAAATATTTTATAATATAATATTTTTAAAAATAATTAACAAAAAATAACATAATTTTTTAATAAAAGTATTATAGGGAATCTCAAACTCACCTTTATGTACCTTGTTAGATAGAAGTGGTGGTTACTTTAATTTATTTTTACATGTTAAATAAATAGAAGATGAATATTATTTCATTCACTCTTGCATTTGATTAAGAAATATTATATTTAAAATATAAGAAGCGCTCTAATTTACATCAACACACGTGAGTCTTGTGTATTTTTAATTCGTTGGGTTAATGAAATTGCCTGATTTTATCATTTTATTAGACAAATTCAACTCATTACATGCTTTGTTGGTAAAAATCATGGATCCATGTCCTTGGAAATTTTCTATTAAAAGAAAACCGGCCCAACATCCCTTCTAGTTCTAGAAAACCGGCCCACAATTGTTGTTTGTTAATCTCTTCACCTGATCTGTCCACATTCAATCACAATATCACATGCCAAAGCCCATATTACCAATGCATTTTTTTATTCTTTTCTTTTCTTTTCTTTTCTTTTCTTTTTTGGTACAATAGTTGCAAAGGCTTGCATATGATTTTTTTTTTTTCTTTTTTGAACTGAAGCTAAATAAGGCTTGCATATGTTTGAATTTACTTTTTCTAATTTTCCTAATATGCTGTCCAAACATACTTTGTTGTCTTTCAATTCCCTATCAGGAATTGCCGCCTTGCAGCTCCTATCCTCCTTCCCCTCACTTGAAAGAACGACCTTCTTCTGTCAGGAATCTAAGAAAATTTAAATTGTAAAATATTTTTTATTTTTTTTATTTTTTTTCCTTAAATTTTAAATGTTTCTCCGACTCCCACTTTTTTAGTTTATCTGAATTTGATCACCATCCGGCGACCCAAACGTTAATCAACTCAACAGGGAAGGGAAAAAGAAAGGAAAGTAATTCTTGATGTTGTCCCTTCTTGTTTTTCTTTTTTTTTTTTTTCTTTTAAGACAGTCACCATTTTCTATGTCACCGTTCAGTTCGAGTCAACAAAATCATCCCCCCTAGTCAACAGTCAACTCACTTACCCCTTCAAGCCCTCCATCTTTCTTTTCTCAAAATGCTAGCTCCTATTCTTCCCCCTGCCTCTCCTCAGGCCTTCACCATGCTTCCTCTGGTTTTCGTCTTCCCGCTCATCTTCCTTTTCCCTCTGGCTTTCTTTTCTCAGTTTTTGATATTATGAGCTATTCCTATTCAAACTTCATTTTTGGTGCATCAAAAAGTAAAGCAAATGATTCAGCACTCAATCAACATGAGAAATGCTAAGAACCCTTGCGAGAAATATTTAGATGCTTTTGGTATTAGTTGACCGATGATATATTTTAGTCGGTAGTCAGACACTGTATTCAAGTAGACTCTCATATGTTGGTTATATGTTCCTATTAAGAGGGCATCGTAGTGCTAACTCTTAGTTTCAAATCGGTTGTTGGCCGCACTAGTTCGTTCCAATCATTTAGGATTATTAAAGTAGCAGTCTTGTTAAATGCAACAAGAAGCGCAACTAACTTCATATCCATTGTTCCACTTCCTTCCTAATATCTCTCTCTATTTCTTCAGAAATGCAATCCACTTGTTCTTCCATCCCTCTTCCTTCGATCTTGGTCTTTCTTTTCACCTTGATCAAACTTCAAGCCAGTTTTTGTGCTGGTAATTTATCTTAGTCAAACTGCAGCCAAACTTTTAAATGTGGAAGCATAGAAAACGTGAGCTACCTTTGCTGGGGAGCGAATAGAGCAGATTACTGTGGTCAACCAGGGTTTGAACTGGATCCTCAAAATGATGTTCCAAAGATCAAGATGCTGAACAACACGTTCAGAGTTCTCGGTATCAACACTGAACAGCACATTCTTAAGGTTGCCAGAGATGATTATTGGGATGATACTAGTCCCACGGATTTCATCAACATCACCATCGATTTCAAGCACTTTAGTTGTTTCAAGCGGGCTTAGGAACCTCACCATATTCTACAATTGCACCTCAGATTCAAACTCTTATTATTCTTCTTCTTCTCTAACTCTATATAATTGTACCAAAAATAATAATACGACCGTCAAATGGCTGTCCCTGTATGGTACCTTTACCAGCTCCAATGATCCCTTGCTAGAAGAATGCACCAGCAATGTCCAAATTCGGATCAACGGAACAGCTGCCCGGATTCTATATTAATATCCATGGATAGTCAATGTTACTCTGAAGGCAGGTTTCGACCTGCAGTGGGAAATAGGTACTGATCAATGCAACAAATGCTTGAATTCTGGTGGGGTTTGTGGATATAATAGGACCACAACCCAATTCACTTGCTTCTGCCAAAACCAGCCCTGGCCAAGCACATGTCCAAGACCAGATTTGTGGCTCTTCTCTTGAGCTTTTCTAGTTCTACAGATTAATTTCATTTTCGAAACTCACCGGTCAATGATTATCCTTTATGCATTACTGATTGTTCATACCACTATCATCTAATTTTGAGACTTGAAGACTTTTTGTTCTTACACTCATGGGATTCAACCTTAGGAGCCAAAATTTCTCGACTTTTATTTTGTTCTAGTCTCATATTCTTGATCTTGATCCTTTTTACACACAAGGGGGATTTCTTCAACAAGGAAATTGATTGATACGCTGGATTTTTTTGACTTTATTAGAGATGGAGACTCAGTTTCCATATTTTGGAATTCTGAGTTCTTCAGAATATCTAAATTTCCTCAATGGACACAAGCATTTCGTCTCTTCTGTTAGTCTACCTAATCTCATTTGACCGCCATTAGATTAGTCGTTCCAATAGAATTAATTTCACCCTTTCACTTATTCAAACACCACCATTTTTGCATCATCATGATTAATAGTTAAAACCACTCCATCCCCATCTTCTTCTTTTTTTCATTCTCCTGTTTCATCGGACAAAATGAATCCCCTTCACCTCCCTGGGTCTTTCTTCTTCTTCATCATCATCACCTTCGCTTTGATCCATGCTCCTAAATTTGCATCCTCTGTGGATGAAGGTTATGTGAACTGCAACAGAGCTTTCGCCTGTGGAAACATTGAGAATATTGGCTATCCTTTCTGGGGTTCAGGCAGGCCGGACTACTGTGGCTTCCCAGGGTTCGAGCTGAACTGCAGTGATTCTATGCCGGAGATCACAATCATGTCAGCAACATACCATGTCCTCGGAATCAACAACGAGACCCGGGTTCTCACCGTGGCCAGAACCGATTATCTAGACAACCTCTGCCCCACCTTCCTAATCAACACCACTCGGAATCCTGACCTCTTTGAATTTACTTCCGATACTCAGGTTATAAACCTCTATTATCATTGCCCTCCTCCTCCAACTCCAATACCAAATGAGGAAACTGAGTTCTTCAGTAATTTTACTTGTAATATAAACACAACCACCTTGTCCGGATATTTCCTCACCAGAAATCTCAGTGAATTGGCCGGCCTGGCTTCTATTGCGACTGAAATCAGCGCCTCCTTGGGTAGTTGCGATAATCTGGTTGTTCTGGCTGCAAACCAATCCGAAATCCAGTCTGTCGAGACAAGTCAGAATCTGAGATGGGAAAATCTGATTGAAGCTCTAGCCAAAGGATTTGGGTTGCAGTGGAATGCAAATAATAGCTTGTGTGGTCGGTGCAGAAGCTCCGGCGGGCAGTGTGGGTATAACACAGTTTCGAATAAGTTTTCGTGTTACTGCACAGATCGGCCCTATGATACCGTTTGTCCTACTCCTACAGGTCAGTCTGTTACTTCTCCTTAGAGATCAGCCCCACAGTTCGGTTATTTGTTTTTCATATTAAAATTCCAGATCTTAAACTTAAACTTAAAATTAAAATTTAAAATTTTTGTTTGTTAAGAAATTTGATGACGTTGAAATTCTTTTTAGGCCAAGGAGAACATTGAAATTTAAAGAGTTTTTAATTTCCAACAAAATATGCACTAATAAAAATATTAATTTATTATAATTAAATAAATCTTAATTAATATTTTAAAAGAGTAATTAACAAACAGTAACATAATTTTTGTATACTTAAAAAATTATAAGCAATCTCAAACTCACCTTTATGTCCCTTACTAGATAAAAATGTGTGCTTTTATTTTTTTACATGTTAAATAAATAGGAAGATGGATATTATTCTATTCACTTTGACATTTGATTAAGAAAATATTATATTAAAAATATATAAGACGTTTTAATTTACATCAATAAACATAAGTCTTGTGTATTTTTCATTCGTTGGGTTCATGAAATTGCCTGATTTTGTCATTTTATTTGACAAATTCAACTCCTTACATGCTTTGTTGTTAAAAATCATGGACTCATGTCCTTGGAAATTTTTTTATCAAAAGAAAACCGGCCCACAAAGAAAAGGAACTCAGTAGTACCCCATCTTTTTGAAGCAGTTTATATTTGTGGTCAACAGAGAGATGTTACAATAATATCCCTTCTAGAAAACCGGCCCACCATTGTTGTTTGTTAATCGC